TTTTTCAGAAAGATTCTTTATTGTGTCTTTGTTCTTGAAACAAATTCATTCTCTTTGTACAGAATTTTGGTTTACAGTTCTTTTCTTTCAGCCTGTTATTCTTTTAAGTGGATCTGCTTTTAAGGCATTTTCTTAGTCTTTGATGTTCTGGGATTTCACAATGTGCCTAGATGCAAATTTCTTGTAACTGTTCCAGCCTGGGATATACCAGACTTCCTGACTCCAAGAGAGTGTTATCTTTCATCACTATAGAAATTCTCAGCAACATACCTTCCAATATTGCTCTGCCCATCCTCTCCTTTCCATGAGTAACTGATTAGATGCACGTTAGACCTTTTCATTTTGTCTTCCATGTTTCTTAATAGTGTTTCTTTTTGCTTCATTTCTTGGTCTAAGTAGAATCCTGGATAATTTCCCCACTTCTTTCTTTCATTCCTCTATTCTCTCTTCAGCTTTGTCTAAACTGATGTTAAACCTATCCTTGAGTTGCTAATTTTAATTTCTATCAATTGCCTAGTTACTTGCTTTTTCTCATATTTTTAGGCCTTTGATTTCTTGAAACATACTAAACATTCTTGTATTGTTTCTGATAACTCCATTCTAAGAAGTTTTCGTGACTCCGACTCTTGCACCTGGTACTTTGTTCATGTGTGTAGTAATTCTTTGTGGTGAACTCCTTATTTTCCTTAAAACTTTATCTGTGGAAATTCTTGAAGGTCTGGTTTGAAGGTGGTTTCTTCAAGGAAAAAAAACTGTTTGCTTCTATCATATGCTTGGGGATCCCTGGCCATGACCATTTCAAACTAAACTGTTGATTTAAGCTTTTTAGGCCATCCAGGTAGTGTGAATTTGGATTGAAAACCTCATGAAAACTTGCTTACAATGATAAATTCTCCAGAAGTGTTCACTCCCGCTTCGGCTCAGGGCCATGGACCAACATAGGCGGTTTTCCTTTCAGATAATGAGGGATTATTTCTTGTTCACTTTATATGCAACCCTTTGAGGATGCAACCCTTTGAGGATGCAGTCCTTTGGAGACCTGCCCATGTGTGTGCACATGCACGTTTGTGTATAATCTCTTATTAGACACTCTACTTTGGGCAGGCCCTGGGCTTCACTTGAGGACCCAGCCTTGAACACCTATGCCCAAAGTTACCTACTTCAACAAATCCCCAAAGAGACAGCATCTTCTTTTTCCTTAACTTCTGCCTTCACTCAGTCTGTGGCCTGCATGTTCCTTACTTTCTTATTAGTTCATGGCTGCATTCAAGAAGTGGATTTTTATGTTTTACCTAACATTTTAGTTGTTTTCGTCGGTTTTAGTAGGCGCTTTCTTCACTATGTTCCCAGCAAATGCATTAGTCATATATATTTTTAAGATCTTCCCATGGTCCTAGATGAAACTGATATCTAATTTTATTTTCTCATATTAACCTACTATGAAGGGAATATTAATCTCATAAAATGAGTTGGGTAGTGGTCTTTTTCCTATCCTCCAAAACAGTTTATATATAATAGGAATTACTGGCTTCTTGGCGGATTTATAAAATGTATCTGTAAAACCATCTGGGTTTCATGTTCTTGGCAAACCTGGGAGAAGGCAGACTTCTGATTAGTAATTCAGAGTCGTTAAGGTTACTAATTTATTCAGATTTTCCATGTCTTCTTGAGTTAATTTTGATAACATATTTTTCTAGAAAATTAATTTTTCAAGTTCACTGGCATAGAGTTGTGCACAATATTCTATGCCTTATAAAAATCTCTGTATTATATGAATACACCTTTTTTTCATTCATAATATTGCTTTTTCATCAGTTTCACTAAAGGTTTGCCTATTTGACTAATTTTTTGACCTATTAATTTTAATTTTTGCTTTTTAAAAGTCATTTTCTTACTTCTGTCTTTGATTTTCTTTGGGATTGTTTTTCTGGTTTCTTGAGTGGGGGAGGTGAACTTAACTCATTCACTTTCAATCTTGTTTTTTTAATAAAGATATAACAAGTGGATCACTTTAGCAGCATTCTACAGATTTCGATAAATTCTTTATCATGTAGGTCCATGTATTTCATAATTTCCATTGTGATTTCCTCATCAATATGTGAGTTATCTAGGAGAGGATTTTTCCCTCAAGTTCCCAAGCACATTAAAAAATAAATAAATAAAGGCTGCCCTTTATTTTTATTTGCTGTGAGGATGCAGACTATATCTAAATGGTTATGACTTCCTTTGTGATCTAGTATGTGGCCAGTTCTTGGAAATGTTCTATGTATACTTGAAAGGGATATGTATTTCCTATTCCCTGGGTGCAGCGTTCTTTTGATCCATTAAAGTTTAAATTTGGTTTTCAACCCTTCTGCCTTCTTACTTGTCCGCCTGAAACATCAGTTTCTGGTACAGCTGGTTTAAAATCTCCCACAAGGATTGTGAACTTGTCAACTTTCCTTTTAAAATTGTTTTCAGGTTCTTTTTTTGCTTTATGGAGTTTATGGATAATCACAGCTATATTGGTAGGTACCTAGTTCAAAATGACTCTATTGTCTTGGGTGTTTTCATTTATTGTTATTGATCTCTTTATCTGTATTACTACTTTTTGTCTTAAATTCTATGTTCTTTCACATTAATGTTGCTTTTAATCATTTTGGGGGGGGGGGAAGGGCTTGATGCATTCTTGCTCACCTCTTTCTTTTGCATCGTTCTGTATACTGTTCTGTTTCGGTGTCTCCTAGACAAGCATACGCCTGGATTCTCCATCTGTCTAGTCTTCTTAGTCTATTTACATTTATGGTGAATACCGATTATTTACATTTATTTTGTGTTTTCTAAAAGTAACATTTTCCTTTGTTGCTTTCCCTCCCACCTTCCTGCCTTCTATTGGGCTGAGAGGATGTCTTTATTCCTCTTCTTGTCCCTGTCCTCTCCCTCATTCCCGCTCCTCCACGAACACCCAGACTGGGAAGCTATAGCACAGACTGCCAGGCTCGCTGCCTACCTCCTACCCAGCATCTTTTGTTCTGAGACAGAATCCTTACTTCTAGCTAGGTGAGCTGCTGACCAGAATAAAAATGCACTTCCCAGCTTCCCTGGAAACTTGGCATAGCAAACAAGATGGAAGGAGCATGCTGTGTGAGGCACCCAGGAAGTCTCTTAGGGCAGAGGCCCCAGTTGCCGCCTGGGGCCAGGAGGATGGACGTCAAGTGCCAAGTGTGGCTGAGCAGAAAGACAGAAGGGAGCCAGCTCCCTAACCATCTTAAGGGTGCCATACCCATCCTGGAATACCTTCTTCTGTACCTTATTTACAGGAGAGAGAAATAAATGTCTCTCTTGTTTGAGCCCCTCATTTGGGGATCTCTCTTTTATTAGCAGCTGAATGCAATTCCTCATAGAGAAATTATAGATGGTTCTAGAATTTTAATTTTTATTTAGAAAGAGAGAGTGTGCATGCAATCAGGGGAGGGGCAGAGAGAAGGGGAGAGAGAGAGAATCCTAAGTAGGCTCCACACCGGGCATGGAGCTTGATCTCACAACCCCGAGATCATGACCTGTACTGAAATCAAGAGTCAGACACTTAGCCAACTGAGCCACCCAGGTGCCCCTGGAATTTTTGTTTTTTAAAAATGCACATTTAAATACCAATTTTAGAAAATAAAGGTGATTCTTTTCTAGTTAATGAAATACATCTAACATATTTTATAAACTATAACATATTCTATAAGCATGTTTTATAAGATTCTGTATTCTCCATTTCTTGGGTCACATGCCTCCCTTCTAGGTTCACCGTCCCTCTTGCAGGATGATGCAGGTTGGAGCTGACATGCACAGAGAAGCTAAGGGACAACAGGAACACTTCTAATGGTGTTCTGGTCTTCGGTCCTGGTATCCTCAGCCCTGCCTTTCTGGAGGTTTGATTCTACAAGTCAGCAAATTGTGCTTATTTGTTGTCATGTGGGGCCAAAGAAACCTGACAAAATGGAATAGAACGCTACTGAACAGATGTGTTCTTGTGCATTTGCCTAATTTATCCACAGTGAAGTAATCAGAAACAGTATAGATTTAAATTCTTAGAAAGGAAGTTGTTTTTTTAAAAAAAGATAATAATGAAGAATAAAAAACACATGAAAAGCACCAGAACAGGGAAATTAAAAAAAAAAAAAAAAAAGAATAAAAATAATGAGCCCCAGAATGCTGCCTAATTTAACAAACTTATCAACAGCAGCAGTTTGGGCTAGAAATCTGCTCTTTAATGGGGGGAAAGAAACAGACTTAAGTTATCAAACAGTACTACACCTGAAAGGAACAATAAAAAGAAGAAACAATGGTCAGTAATACAATATTTTATTTCAACTTTTGTAACAGCTTAAGAACAATACTTAAATACTAAACTTCCTCTTGAAACTCTATCTGGTCATTTTGTATATGGACACGAGATACAGATGGCATATTACTGTTTTTTAAAAATCTTTATTTATTTTGGGAGAGAAAGAGCATGAGTGGGGTAGGGGCAGAGAGAGAGGAGACTGGCCTGAGCCGAAAGCAAGAGTAGGACGTTCAACTGATGGAGCCACCCAGGCGCCCCTGGCATATTACTGTTTAATTCAAGATTTATTTATTTTTTAAGCCAAGCCCTCTCTTCAGTACAGGGCTGAAGCTCATTTTGCTAAGCACACACTCTATTTTAGTTATAGACGTATAGTTTTTAAAGATCTCACTAAGAGTTTCCCCTTGTCAACAACCATAAAAAACTCAAATTTAACGAAAAGCATTTCATCTGGCATACAACTATTTCAGCCAGCCATGTTAAAAAAAACAAAACAGGGATAAGAATTCAATTACAACATTCACTTTAAATATCTATATGGTTCAGTGCAATTTATCATAATTACCTAAAAAGCGAATCATACGTTCTCTATAACATATATCAAGAGGGAACCAATGATAGCAAATGGTGCTGACCACCATCAAAAGTGGCGATAAAATGGATACGTAGAAAAGAAAATAATTACCTTTGATGCAAGGTTGTCCACTAAAGCGATCATCGAATTCTTAAACAAGGTGGCAGCGGTCAGAGGTCGCTTGGTCACCTCTGTAATACTCAGTTTGCCTTCGGGCCACATATTCTTCAGCACGGGATTTGAACTGAGAAGCACAGAAAGAGCAATGAGAATGTTACATTCAAATAAGCTGAATAGAAACTGCTAAGGAATCCTGCTGGGCTGCACCCTGGAGCCACAAGAGGACTGCAGACTGGAGCCACAGTGGAGTGCACACTGGAGCCACAGTGGAGTGCAGACTGGAGCCACAGTGGAGTGTAGACTGGAGCCACAGTGGAGTGTAGACTGGAGCCACGAGTGGACTGCACCCTGGAGCCACAAGTGGACTG